CCGTGTAGGTGTGGACGCAGCGTAAAAGAGTTAGTAGTTTATTTTATTACTACCTGTCATTTATTGCAGATTACTTGTATTTGCTTAATTGTTTACTAAATGTTTGAGGTGTGAAATAAACCGCAATGGAGCAAAATATGGGTGTGCGTGGTTGGAGGATGTGTGTGTGCGGTGCGTGAGCGCGGGCACGCGCAAGAAGGGGGGGAGGGGGGGCTCGAACATTTTTCTTGTAAAATAAGGGGGGCCCAGCAAAAAAAGTTTGGGAACCACTGTGTTATTAGAACTGTTAGTAACGTTGTTACTAGGGTATCATCAGGTATCATTTAGTTGGGGCTTGAATCTATTTCCATGTTCACATAGTCATAGTGCTCACAGGATAAATCACACTTTAAGATTAACACTGGATAAAGTAAGTCCTCAGTGTGTGTGTGTGTGTGCGTGTGTGTGCGTGTGTGTCAGCATTAATCAGTCAGTCCTGTTTTCTTTTCTGCTTCCATTAAAAGCACTTTTGGCTGCAGACAAACCAACATGTGACTTTCTGCCTTTCGCATGTGAAATTCTCAGCATTCACATTTTTTTGTCCACCTTGGGGACTGTGTGGACAGAAGGGGGTTGGGTGGTGGTGGTATTTGTCTTTTTTCTCTGACAGTTGATTATTTTCAGGCTCTGTTATAGCAAGGTGGGGGATGGGAGTGTTTTTGTTTTTCTCATCCCACATTTATTCTTGATTTCTCTGGAGAAAAAAATAAATTCAGACCATGAAGTTCTCATCAGTTTTCTTTTATCAGGAACCCAAACAATACCCCACAACATTGTGGGAGTGGTGAGAAAGAAGTATATAAACGACGGATAGCCAACCAAGATTTCACTAAGCACCATCCATGTTGGTTTATTATTTCAGGAAATGACCAGGAGAGAGTGGCGTGCTAGCTGATAATCATTTATGAACTGAATCATTGTACATTTGCCAAATTCTGAACACGTTTTAATGAACACCATGATTTTAGCTATCCACAATAATTAGTTAACACAGTTTTTTATATATTGATTTGGGATTTACAAATCTCTGACACCTTAACTGAAATCAGCTGATTGTAGTGTGAGTGCAAGAACAGATACGCGGGATCGATAGGCAGGCAAACTAACAGTTCCAAAGAATTGGACTACTGGGAACCAGTTTCCTACAAGAACCAGTTCTTGATTCCCAACCCTCGAGAAGGACTCTTCTGGAGTATCGAACTTACAGCACAGGTGTGTGTACTATGAGACTGAGGGGTAGCACTGGTGGCTGCCAATGCATTTATTTTTTTTCATCAGAAAAATGGTCATTGATGAAAAGTATTGGTCATGGAAATTGAGAAGTCTTGTTGATGGGCTGGAATGGGGCTTTTGTTATCCAGGCTTCCACACAGGTCACACCATGAAGCACACATGGTGTGTGTAATAAAGATTTACCATCAAGCGTTGGCAGCTGTCTCTGTTCCTTTCCTTTATGGAATAACATTGCTGCTTCTTTGTCTTCAGTTGTGTACATGTGCTGCTCCTGGGACATCTTCAGGACGTTGATGGTCCAATTCTGGAAGGAAGGGGTGGAGCTGGAGGACTATGTCTTCTTCTTCATTGATCTTTTTGCTGAGGGTCTGGACGGGAGCGCTCCCATCAGGCCCTGGTTCAGAGGAGACCAGGAGGACTATGCGGCTCGCAACGCTTTCAGGGTAAGACAAGATGCTCTTTCATTGTTAAATTTTAAAGGATGCTCACTGATGTAAAGTGATCTGGTCAATTGATTAGCTTGTTATTGATTTCGTCAGAGTGTGAAAGTGCTGACGTATCTGCAGCCCCAGAATCCCGAATATCTCCAGTTTGTTAAAACTCTGAAAAAAGACGCAAAGGCGATGTTCAACTTCACCATCAGAGACTCTATGGTACAAATAACAATCCTTATTGATTAACTGAATCTGATATTTCAAATTTTTATTCAAATATGTGAGAGACTGATATTTATCTATAACAATCACATGCTTTGTCCCCTCAGTACAACCTGATTGCCGGAGGGTTCTACGACGGGGTGATACTGTACGCTCAGGCTCTGAACGAGACCCTGAATTTGCAAGGACCGAGACCGGGACTGGGACGAGTCCAGAGGCCCAGAGGAGATGAGGTGACCCACAGGATGTGGAACAGGACAATCAAAGGTGAGCACAGATATTTGTCAGCGGGTGACTAATCAGAGCACAGCACTGGGCTGAAAATCGCATGTGCACTACAAGTAACTGAGTAAAGTAGCACAGGTGTAGACTTCTCTAACTAACTGGAAAACCACGCGTGGCTCTCTGATTGGCTGCCTGTGTGTGATGCTGTTTTTATGGCGGAGTCATTGTTGGACTCAGAGTAGAGGTCATGGACACCCAGTACTGGGTCCCAGTAAAATCTCATTTTGGAGTTTTAATTAGGATTCATTTAGACTGAAGATTGGACATGAATAGGAATCCAATCAATCCTGAAGGAAAAAGCCGAAGAAACATAGGAACACATCAGATCAAATGCAAGTGAAAAGAAACACCGACACTAAAGCTTTGGGTTTTAGATTTGCCTTTATTGGATAGTGGCAGTGGAGATAGGCAGGAACGTGGGGAGACACAGAGAGGATTGGACTCGAACCTGGTCGGCTGCTCTCCTTGCTATATGGTCACCTGCTCACCCACTGGCTAAACACAACTGCACAACTTTCACACACCTTATCACCCTGTCAATGCCTTATGAGCCTGGATGCATGTTGCTAATGTCGACAATGACAACAGAAGTTGATTCAGGTCACTGAAGTCCAGCCTGAGGCTCCAGTGGTAGTTCAAGTTAAAACACTGCTGTCACAATGCGAGAGACAGGTTGCACCTGGACAGATAACCGGTCCGTCACTGGGCTGACACACAGAGACATTCACACCTGCAGTTGATCTAGAATCACCTCTTCTTCTAACATGCATGCAATTGGACCGTGGGGGCAACACCCAGAGAGATCCCGCACACAGGAGACAAACTCCATGCAGAGGAACACGGTGGTCAGCTGGGTTTGAACATAGTCTGCAGTGCTGTGAAGCTGCACCACTGTCCCACCCTGCACAGCACTGTTATTTGCTTGTGTATAAATGATGTTAGAGAACGCCCACTAATTACACAGCATGATGCTGAGTGTGGAACCCGTGGTAAAAATGCCGTGAATGTCCTGCATGGCAGAAGCTTCAGACTTATTTGGGGGGGGAGCTGTATGGTATACATAGATCTAAAGTTTGTAAAAGTTTTTAGTTAAACTTGGTGCTCGCAGATTTAGGTATAGAGAAAGCGTGCACAGAACACTTATCTAAGAATTTGCAGGGGGTAAAGCACGTTAATGTCCTGCTGTTCTTTTGTGAGCTTCTTCTTCTAAGCTTGTAAACAAAAACAATGAAACAATTTTTTTCATATTATTCTCTAACATCTGAAAGATCTTAGTTGAGAGCTCATTTTAAGAAATGCAGCATTTTGATGGGGGTATTATTGACATCATGCAGGACAGGCGGCGTGGACACCAAAGATTTTGTGAATGTAATGACT